CACACATAGTATGAAGGGACTTCAACATAAAAAAGGATTTTTGCAAAATTATTCGTTTTGCAAAGCTCAAAAAATGCTAGAAAAGTAGTTTTTGCGCTGCCATAGTTGTAATTGACATTTTACGTTGACACGTGGCGTGTCGTAATGGCAATGAAAAAGGATCTAGCGCCGCAAAATACAAACGAGGAATTTAAGCTTTGAAAAAATAAATTGATTATCACAAAGTAATTACTACTAATTGATAATCATGTATCTAAAGTTATTATAACAAAAAGTGGCTCGAAATTTTAAAAAAGCGCAATTTAAGTTGTAATCTTAAATAGGGGAATTTGTTGATCAAAATTTGGGTTTGTAGTAATTTGACAGTTGACACTATTCGATGGTTTGGTTTATGTTGTTGACAACTATTATGTTATTACTATTTGTTAGTAGTTCTTGTTAATTAAAAAAACCGTTTAAACTTGACGTTATTCGCAACCTCACGCTGAATCATAATCACAAGATTCTCTCTGATCTGGAGCCGTAAATAAAAATGTTTCCACTGGTAAGTATTTCAGACTTCTTGGGCTTGTGTCATTCTGCCGCTTTAAAAACGCTGTTAACTTATAAAATTTCGAATGATTTATATTATGTTTGATGCCAAGAGTGCTTTTCAGAACTGAATATATTGTCCACAGTGTGGAGGCTTTCATGATTTCCGACTTAATTTGGAAATAAACCAAGAGCGTCGTTTCAGAAAATTCGCGTATTTTATTTTCTTCGCACCACTTGATGAATTTTTGATATTCGGCTTCATATGGACCTGCGGATTTTGCAGGCAACAAATTTGCAGTTGCTTTATCTGCAATTTTCTGAATACGTGCACGATTTTCCATTTCAACTTTGAAATTCAAAATCTAGACCGGACAAATTGACAGATTGGTAAATGACGTATTTGGTAATAAATTCAATACCAACATAATTTCGGTTCAGAAATATTTATTCTTTTAGCGATTGAAAAATGTTATTTTTTCAAAAAGGCAGCGCAAAAAATATTGTATGATACTCGTGTGAAAACTCCATTGCATTACTCACTTACATACAGCGCTCGACTGCGTCTCGCGCCGTATTCCCGTTCGTAATGCAATGGACCGTTTTCAACACTTGTAACATAAATAACTATTTCTGTGAATTATTTACGTTTTCACTTACATTATTAAAGTCGTTAGGATTAAAACAGACAGCAGGCCATTTTTCAAGTGCACTGTGAGATGAAAAACTACTGGAAATTGTTCATGTATAGGAAAGGGTCAGGATTCTCCAGACAGTTTCAAAGCTGCTAATATATCGACCACTTTCATATAATTTGACTTCATCATTGTCATTTTCAAGACCAAATAATCCTGGTTGGATCCTTTATGAACATATTTGCATATACATTTAATAGATTTTACAGAGTTACAATACTCTATGTTGATGTGAGCAGCAAAAGTTCAAGATAAAAGTGGATTGTACGGTACCACCCATCTGTTATCTAGGGTTACAACATGGAATTCAACCGTGAATCCACCATCCGCGGAACCTCTTCGCCGGTATTGAGGGTAGCTGTCTTCGCCTGTTTGGGTTTCTTTCAGGAGAATTCGAGGATATTTTTTGCTACAGCTACATCCTTTCATACACGGGAACACAAAATTAGAATACTTAAGTGAGAAATATTCTGATAATTCGTGACATAAAACACAACCGTCAATGCCGTTTTAGTTTTCCCGTACAAACTTATCCACCACTTTTTACCCCCTTAGGGGTTGAATTTCGGAAAATGGTGAAATACGTGTTTCGTTATTTGTGTTGAAAAGCATTAATACCAAGTTTCACGTAAATATTTACATCAGAAATGGTTAGGAAATAGTCTTCTTGTACAAACTTTACCACCGCTTTTCGCCCTTTTAGGGGTGGAATTTCCCAAGTTCCTTTCTTAGTGGGTGTTTACATCACAAAAGGAAACTATTGTCCAAATTTCATGTTTCTAGCTGCAGTAGTTTAGGCTCTGCGTTGATGAATCAGTCAGTCAGGACAAACAATTTTATATGTATAGATTGGGTTTTATTTTAATTCTTGACGGTGAAATTCACAATTGGTTGATTATAAACATGTCTATTTCACATTCGCGGAACCAAGTGAGCGCATAAAACAAATGCAGGTCTGTAATGTTAAAGTGGATGTAAATAAGCGTGCTACCCTTATGTTTCAACCGAGTTTTTCCTTTAACAAATTTTGTGTCTACCAAACTGGGTTGGTTGGGGTGTAATACTAATAATAAGTGTTGCCTTTAATTTAATCAATAAAATAAATTGACTTCATTAATTTTTTTGAACCACCTCTTAAGAAAATCTAAAAAATATGAATGGAATGATAAATCACAAGTACAAACTCATCATATTTTTTGCATTTTAGATAGGATTTATTCAGCAAAATTTAAGGGTGACGTCATTAATTTTTTTAGGAGGGATGAACAAATACATTTTGAACAAAAGTTTACCATGCTTATAATAACTTTAAAATATTCCCAAGATTTCAAAGCATTCGGTTTTGTAATTCCTGATTAAATCGATAAAATAAATTCACGCCTTCATTAATTTTTTTGAGTCACCCTGCATATGCAAATCCAAAAATATGAATGGAATGATAAATCACAAGTACAGACTCATCATATTTTTACAGTTTAGATACGATTTATTCGGCAAACTTTCGAGCTGACGTCATCAATTTTTTGGAGGGGATAAGCAAATATATTTTCACTAAAAATTTATTATGCTCTTTATAACCTTAAAACATCTGCAAGATTTCAAAGCATGCGGTTTTGTAGTTCCTGATTAAATCAATAAAATAAATTTACGCATTCATTAATTTTTTGAGTCACCCTGTATATGCAAATCGAAAAAATTTGAATGGAATGATAAATCACAAGTACAGACTCATCATATTTTGTACATTTTAGATAGGATTTATTCAGCAAAATTTTGTGGTGACGTCATCAGTTTTTTGTAGAAGATAACCAAATATATTTTGACTAAAAATTTATTATGCTCTTTATAACCTTAAAACATCTGCAAGATTTCAAAGCATTCGGTTTTGTAGTTTCTGATTAAATCAATAAAATAAATTCACGCTTTCATTTATTTTCTTGAATCACCCTGTATATGCAAATCCAAAAAATATGAATGGAGTGATAGATCACAAGTACAGACTGATCATATTTTGTACATTTTAGATATGATTTATTCGGCAAATTTTCGAGCTGACGTCATCAAGTTTTTGGAGGAGATAAGCAAATATATTTTGACTAAACATTTATTATGCTCTTTATAACCTTAAAACATCTGCAAGATGTCAGAACGTTCCGTTTTGTAGTTCCTGATTAAATCAATAAAATATATTTACGCATTCATTAATTTTTTTGAGTCACTCTGTATATGCAAATCCAAAAAAAATATGAATGGAGTGATAAATGACAAGTACAGGCTCATCATATTTTGTACATTTTAGATATGTTTTATTCGGCAAACTTTCGAGCTGACGCCATCAAGTTTTTGGAGGGGATAAGCAAATATATTTTGACTAAACATTTATTATGCTTTTTATGACCTTAAAACATCTGCAAGATTTCAGAGCATTCGGTTTTGTAGTTCCTGATTAAATCAATAAAATATATTTACGCATTCATTAATTTTTTTGAGTCACCCTGTATATGCAAATCCAAAAAATATGAATGGAGTGATAGATCGCAAGTACAGACTCATCATATTTTGTACATTTTAGATATGATTTATTCCACAAACTTTTGAGCTGACGTCATCAAGTTTTTGGAGGAGATAAGCAAATGATTTTTGACTAAAGATTTATGATGCTCTTTATAGCCTTAAAACATCTGCAACATTTCAAAGCATTCTGGTTAGCAGATTAAAAATTAAATTTCAAAATGTTGTTTTATAATTTTGATTTTTTTTCCAAAAATCTGGACGTTTCGGGTGAAAAGTCTATTCAGAGTTGTAAACTACATGTGTAGGACTATGTTATTTTATACAATTGAAAACCCATTTACTATGTACAATTTTGAAGTGACGTCATCGCATTAGTGATGGGGATGACTAGACAAATTTTGGTTAGCGCTTTACCATCTACATGATATTCTTAATATAAGTACAAAATTTCACAACAATCGGTCGAGTACTTTCGGAGATTATCTGTCTAATAAAAATCCGGGGGCAGACGGACAGACGGACAGACGGACGGACAGACGGACGGACAGACGGACGGACAGACGGACGGACAGACGGACGGACAGACGGACGGACAGACGGACGGACAGACGGACGGACAGACGGACGGACAGACGGACAGACGGACAGACGGACAGACAGACGGAAATGGGAGACCTATTTCTTCGTCTTCTAGGGGTCATGAAAGATCGAGAAAACGTAAAAGTAGAAAGTCGGCCGACGGACTCGATTACAATACTTCCTTTACTTACGCTCGGGAAGTAATAAATTGTTACCAAAATAGTAATTAAATAGTGGATTACTACTATTGTTTAATTTGTTCTGTTTATATTTATTTTTTAGTATAAGAATATTATCTTTAAAAACGTGATTTATGTGTTAGTGAGATGTAATTAAACACTGCAGTGTGATTTATATATTTTTTTGTAATAAAACGTACGCTTGGGAAACCTGTTTTTGTAATTTATAAATAAATTGAGTTCGTTTATTAAGCTTTTTTTTATTTTTGCAGCATATGCAACTGCATATCTCTGCATATATTAAGAAAGTTACTGCATGTTTCCATAAATTTGGTGCATATCATATGATCACATTTCTCAAAATTTTGCTACATATTTTCCGCTCTCTAGACATAAGGATTTTTGATACACCATGTATATTTGTGGTTTGGATAATTTAAAATAAACTTCTTTTTTTGCACCTTAAATGGTTGATCGTAAAGTCCACAAAATAAAAGTCGACTTTTCGGTTGAAAACAGGTTAACTTTTTATTAAACACATTGTATTTTTAAATAAAACAAAAAAACAAGAAACTAAACAAAAATTCACCGAGTACGGCTACAAATTAAAATTTTTAAATAAGCTGAAACAACACAACGTATTATTTAGTAAAGCAAAAAAAAAAAAAAAACAATTACAGAAAATTTGTGCGCTGAGAAGGAACGAAGCCATCACTGTAAAATTTAGGGCAAATCTACCATTATAGTTCTGTTACTTGACCAGTAATAAACAAAGACTTGTTAAAGATTCACCAAAGTAGATTTGACTAAAACAGTGTTGTCAAATATCCGCGTGAACTTGAACAACACGTGTACTTCGTTCTTCCTCGAACGATGTCAACGATTCCCCATATCGCATACAATTACATATTACAATCATGTACAATATTCTAATAAAATTATCGATCAACTCTTTGAGCTGAACCATAGGTTCACAAACTTCAACTAGAACAGCCAGCCGTAGATCTAAATACCAAGGAAACCGTCATTACCTGTGAAATTGTATTCTACCTGTGGTAACTTAGATCTAAGGTTGTCATTCATCCGAATTTCCAACCTTTTTTTTTGCAAATTGCATTAACAAATCTAATCAAAACTATTATTTATTATTATCAAAACGATATTCTGTCTTCGTGCACATCCATCCCGGTCGTTGCCTTTAATAGATTGATAATTTAATCCAAAAAAAGGAACAATTAAACACAATTAACAAATTATTTGTTTTTACGGTTTTTTAGAAAAGTAAGGCGACATGTGTTTCGACAGTCGTTACTAAGAACTTGACCCATGATGGATTGCTAAGACAAATTAAAGAATAAGTGACCTTTCGAGGATCATGTCTGATCCACTTCTTACAGTCTGTTTTCTTCACTCTCTACGTACGATGAGGAGTTCCATTGAGGTGGGTGGGTTCAAATTCGGACCATCGAATCTCCTAATAATCATGCCATGACTGAGAAAAACGACTGAGAAAATACAGGTTTTTGATTTTTGTGAAAACTTGGTTCTATGCATGCACAGAAAGAATCCCGACGTACTTTATGGTATATCTTCCAAAAAGAGGTCAAAGATTGAAAATCTAAAATATAAAATACACTGAATCCACGATTACATAATGTAATAACGAACTTACCCTTGATTTCGAACTACGGTTTAGTTTTTGATTTTTATTGAATCAGCACTGAGACAACCGTTTGTAGATTTGATGTGATAAAGGGTGAATCTTGTAGTTTGAAAAGTTAGAAATGAAGCGTGGAGTAAATTGATTTTTGTGTTTTATTTCAATGTTACGATTTGACAACTGGGGCTAAATAGACTTTCTGAAATTTCATTTCCAAGTATGAAGTCTTTTAGATATTGCAGATTAAAGTAAAATTTCTTACCTTTACACATGAGAAAGATTTTTTACCCAGGTCAAACCAAATTATCCTGTTTATAACTGCAACATTTTTAAATAATTTCCTTTTTACAACGTTCAGTTGGACACGAGAAGACAATTTCAAAAACGTTTTAATAGTGTACGAAGTTCCTGCTGGTGATGTGGATGCAGGAATTGGTGAAAAATCTTCAGTGGAAAGACCGAAGACATGCGACCTTCTTCTGGAAACTCCACGTTCTTGTAGTGTAAGTTGCTTTTCCCACATAGACATCAGTAGTCTTTCGATTTGTGTCCTTAAATTTTATGATTTGGCAGTTGGGCTAAGTAAACCTGTTTCTGAAAAGTTAATTAAAAAAAATCGGTTGTCTGTAAAGTCGGTTTACTGACGATAGTTGAACGTGACAACGTCTTAAGAAAATACTGATGGAATGGTAGCATTTTTCAAAAGAAAATTTTAATTTCATTTGTTTAATAGATTTGTATGTATATAGAGAAGGAGGTAATTAGAAATCACAATGAAATTGATCAAGTTAGATTTATTTATACGCATAAATACAATTATGTCAATTTTTTTAGTTTAATGTGTCTTGAAAACATTAACACTACATTCACTTTTCACTGCACTTGATACTCGACCAAAACATGTCAATGTACTATAATATAGCACACAGAACAGTCAATATAGAAGAAGCGCAGGCTCCATGTATTTCATTGGCAGCAGCAGTGACATTTCTCGACGGTCATGTTGCATGATACAATAAATACCAGGTATGATATTGCGCAGGTACGGAGTGGGAGAGTGACGTCACTCAGAGAGTAAACACAGGCATTTCGCGCGTATTTTGGGACGTTTTTCTGTATTCCACGTGCCTTTTAGAAAGTTAGGGGGTACACGTTATTTTATAATGGTTTTATAAAGTTACAACGATGCCTTGTGCCGTTTTTGGGTGTAATACCGATAATCAATCAAAACATTTTCGGAACGACATAAAATTTTATTCGTTTCCAAGGGACAATGTTACAAGACAATTATTATGGGTTATTTCTTGTTGTCGTTCGGACTCTTTTACAGTAAAAAATGCAAGAGTGTGTTCGCAGCATTTTAGTGAAAACGATTTTGAACGAAATTTGCAACACGAACTTTGTATTATCTCCCTAAAAAAGGTTAAAAAAAAATAAAGTCTGGAACTGTGCCTTCGTTATGTCTTCCTAAAAGCAAAACAATCAAACTTAATAACAATATGGGGTATAAAATTTAACATGAGGATCCCTATGGCCACTTTTAAAAATGATGCACACACACGGTTCAATAGTAGGTACATTGCATTTATTTTTAGTAGTTATTAAAAATTCTTATTTTTAAGTTCAGATTATGTGGTAAAATGTTGTTGTTGTCAATTGTGTCGAAACCATTTTTTGTTCTATTAGTAATAGATTGTTTTACAAGTAGTAAAAAGTGGTCGTTTTAATGGAAGGTTTAATTATCGAAGGGAGCGAAAAAGAAAAAACACATTTTTCTTATGTGTTGAATATGTTATTTTTTCGTGTACTCAGTTTTTCAAAGTTTAAAACAGAATTTCTAAAGTAGATTTCAATTTACGATAATTATGTTTGCGTTAAATGTAAACAATTACCATAATAACAAGTATGTTCATGATAATCAAATAAAAACGTAAAAAAGCAAAAAATGGATAATTCTGAAGATCTTGGCATTTTCAGATAATCTGCAGAAGCCATTGCGAATGTATTGCCCGTAAAATAGTAGGAAAAGTATGAAAGGTGTTACAGATACTTTGATGAATGATTGAGAAGAACAAAAAATTCAAATAAAGCGGACGGGACATCAGTTATGTTGAATGGTTGGAAAAGTGTTACTAACGAGAAAACTAGCACTTTTTATAATTATCTCCAAATTAAAGGCGCATTTTTCTATTGAGTACACGAAAAATAATATTAAACGCGAAATTTTAATTTGTCGCACACGATAAAAATGCGTATCAAACTCCCTTAAATTCGTTTTTACAATTTAATTCAGACAGATAGGTACCGAATTTATTTTTCCGGTCATTTTATGCAGCGTTATAAATATAATTATTATATTATAATATAGAGGTTGTACATACAACACACTTTTTTAAATACATAAAGAATTATAACAGTAAAAATTAAAAATATTAGCGATTCTTCGTGCTTTTATGTTGAAATTCCAATAGTTCTACTCTCTGAGTGACGTCATGCGCGAACTGGTCTCACGAGTATCATATCTTGAGAATTATTGTATCATGGTCATGTTGCGATGTAAAAGTGTGGGAAATTCAAATAAATGCATGCTACGTGTATTGCCAGTTGCATACCCCAGCATCGTGTCATACGGATTGCCTACCACTACTTATTTGTTTTATTAATGGAAAGAAATAAAATTCATAAAATTTTACAAACGAAGTATATTAAACATTAAAAGACTAATGTACAATTCAAAAAGTAACAATAAAATAAAAAAACAATTCTGTTATAAACAAAAAATTAACAAAAACACAAACCTTCCACCATAGTACTTCTAGACGTCAAATGGGAGTACCAGATCCATTCAAGGGTTTCCATTTCCCCCAGGTTATTTTAAAGTAAAAGGTACTCACATTGAGTTCATTCCAAATACTTCGAAGTACGAAGTGATGTTTTGCAATGATGTTGCCCCTGCTTCAAGCGCAAGCCTCAGTCCTGAAACATGGTTGTTATCAAACAATCAGCACATAATTATATTTTTATTACCTTTCACATAAATTCCACGGTCACTTGCGAGAATTAAAGCCGTGAAACATCTTTTATTCCAAAACATCACACTGCATCGCACAACATTGACATATGTCAGTAAAAGACCGGGAAAAATCTGGAGCCCACAGCCACAGGCTGCATCTGCGCAGTGTGCTACTAGCCACCCCTTGCCCCTCAAAATGCGATGCCGGTGTCCACAAGCTAAATGTCATTCATGTTGCCTATTCGGCAATACAACCTTCACCCCCGTATAGCAGCTGTCCACGCAGACGCATCGCTCACTCAAGTAGGAGAGAGACGGATGGCGAACGCTGCCGAACGCGAAGGCCGATTGTGCCTCTTTGTCGCTCGTTCCGCGTTCTCGCTTGCACTTCAAGCCTTACATGGGACGCCTCAGAGCGAGGTAACGCCGCATGAGTCATGCTTTTTCGTGCGTGCAGCCGGCTCCATCGATTTATAAGACGTTGTCACGTCAAAAGTGAGAAGTTTGTTAGACGTTATACTCACTTTTGTGTGTAAGAAAAACTTTTCAGCCAGGACACACAAATAATCTCCAGTGGAATAACAAAAGGGATTAAAGTGTCGTTATATTCAAACAAAGCGGTGGAAACATGAAATCACCTTCAGAAAAACCACCCAGATGCTTGAAGCTGGCGTGAAGCATATTTCTTGGATAGAGTTGAGGAGATTCTTTGCGCCTATTTGGTCATTGAAGCTGAAAACGCTTTCCTAAGGACATTGTAGAAAGTATTGACACTGTGGATAAAAATGGTGAACTTACCTTAAGTAATGAGGGTTTCCCTTGGAATGTTCACAATACTAAAAGCCCATGAAATTCAGATTAGGAATAAGAAGACCTGATTTACAAAATTTAACCCATTTTATATAGCAGAAGGTTGTATTTACACAGACAGTTGCTTATTAATTAAACATGAAGTAACCTCAAAATTACCAACGTTAACTCTTAGAAAATTATCTATTACTTAGTAGTTTCAATTCTGATGTAACTTTGAGGTATTTCAAAAGTTGGAAAAATCACTATTAAGTACAAAATTTAGTACAAAAATGTAACTTATTATTATATAAATCTAAGTAAGTGAAATGAAATAAATTAAGATAGAGAACTAAAATTTTAGACCCGTTTGCCAACCAGTCAGATGATGGGGAATTAGAGAATAGATTCATTCTACAACGACCTATTCTTGACGAACAAATTAACGTCTAAGCTGTCACTGCCGGTGATGTGGCTGTAGACATTCTTGTGAAAAGTTTTTACGGAAATAAAAATGTTTTTATATATCCGTGCTAATTACTTTGGTAAACACAACTGGAATGTGAAAATTGGAAAAATTAAGATAGAGTAATTAGACGTCATACTATTAAAGACTGATAACTTCCTAGTAACAAGCTACACTTGATGTTTAGTAGGGTCATGACATGATTGACAAGTCTATTTTTTCAATGATGGTTTTAGGTTTTTTTTTTTTTAATGAGTAAGATGGGAGAATTTTTTTCGATCATTCATATAAAGAGGTTTAGGTTTTTCTAAGAATATTGCACAAAGTTTTACCACTGTGGTGAGAAATGGAGAACTAGCGTTACTATACAAAGTCTTGACGTCAAAAACCCAACCACCAGATCTAGCTGTACAGAAGATATCTAAATAGCAACGACTAAAACTTAGCACATAAACGACTGGAGAATATATAGACAAGAAAATGTTACTATTTTTGAAGATCAGATGAAAGAAAAAATCAATATGATTAATAATATTAGAGTCGCCAAATTAACTAACAAGCTTATAACTTAAATGTAGCCATCAACAGTAGCTAAAATTACTACTGTCCTCCATAGGAGTAAAGGCTGATGATGAAGGTATATTCAACAAGTGTACCCATATATTCGCAAACTTTTGATTTGATTACGAAGTCAAAGAAAGAGAGAAAATTGTGGTAATAACTTCTGCATCGTATTTGTCCCGAAAAGTAACTATACCAACATATTAACACACGGATGTTCAGAGTAGGGGAGACTGGGGAGAATTGACACGCAGGGAGGTTTTCTACACTTTTAAATTACGCGGCTTTCTATCAATTTCTGGGGCTTGGAGTTAGCTACATTCAATGGAAAATTTAATCTCGAGTAAGCTGGATTTAAAGATTGATTTCGGGGTTTTATGTTCCGTAATCATAAGTTGTCTTTATAAATTCTGGAGGCTACAAGTCTATTCAAATCTATTGTTTTTAATTCTCACAGTGTCCAATTATTTTTTTCAAACTCTGCTCACGGTGTTAGAGCGTGACGATTTTGGGTCAGAATCTCTTTACAATGGCGATAAACTTGTATAACAAAATCCTGGTCGAACAATATTATCAAAACAATATTCCAGAACTTTTTGGGCGGATATTCAGTCGAGCATTCATTCCTAGAAACATCACTAGTGGTTTTTTAACGACTGGAATATATCCGTATAATAAACATGCTTTTGACGAAAATGATGTTACCGGATCAGAAGTGAAACAGGGAACGATGTAGAGCCTGGTAGCTTTCATTTTTCCTCATGTTCTGAACTTGATAAATCTGGAGATTCACAAATAAAAAAGGTATTAATAACTCCGGAGGAAATACGACTGAAACTGAACAAAAAAAAGGGAGGTCGAAAATCAGAAAAAAACGAGAATTTTAACAGACACTCCTAGGGCACTAGCAGTGGATTACAGCACAAAAGAAAAGTTCCAAAGAGCGTGTGTAAAAAAGTTGAAAAATTAAAAGGGCACTAGCATCAGAAACGTAAAATGCAAAAAATATTATATCATATCACCGAATACCGGACGTCCAATCGTATTTCGAAACAAACAGTTTTCCATCAAGCAGAATGAAGAAACATAACCAAGTGAAGACTAAGAATGACGCTGCTTGCATCTATTGCAACTCTTTGTATTCGAAGTCGAAGGAACACAAAAATATGAATGTATTAAACCTCCCGGTCGAATGTATCAAACTTTCCCCACTTTCCCACTTAGTTATTTACATATTGCAATTAATATTTGGAAAAGTAATTTAATGCATGAATACATCAGCTAGGATTACTTAGGTATGTTTATAAGTAGAAGTCTAGAAGTAACAATGAATGTTAGGAAAAAATTCTACCAGAGAATGAGAAACATTTTTGTGTGAAATAAGTTTCAAGAAAATATAAAAGATTAGAATAGATCCGCGCATCAAACAAATGAAGAGAAAGAACTTAATACAAAAGTAAATGTTTCTTCAATAAACACATTGCTAATTATCTAAACGTACAGTTGTTTCTTACCTAAAAACGACGCCTTCACATTAATCAGAGATAATAACTTTAATTCCGTGCTATTGTATTAAAAATCTTGGTTTTGATTTTATTTTGAACATGCATGTCGATGCCGTTGTCTATAAGTAATTTTATTATCATTCTAGTATCTCTTCTCGAACATAAGGCATAATGCAAAGCGTTTTTGTTGTTTTGATCCAGAATTTTCATTAAAGCACCAGAATCTAACAACGTTTTTACATTTTCATAAACACCCTGTCGACATGCAAGTTGTAAAGCGGTCGCTCCATAATGATTTTGTGAATCTATGTCGATGCCATGCTCAGTCAATAATTTTATTAATTTTCGGTTGTCTTTCTGTGATTCTGATGCATAATGCAAGGTGTTTTTGTCGTCTTTATCCGTAGTGTTAATCAAAGCTCCGAAATCTAACAATAATTTTACATTTTCATAAACACCTTTTCGACATGCAAGATGTAAGGCAGTAGCACCATTTTGATTTCGTAGATTTACGTTAATGCCATTCTTAATCAATAAATTTAGTATATCCTGATTGTCGTTGTGCGAATCTGCAGCACAGTGCAACGCGTTATTCCCCATTTTGTTAATAATGTTAATCGAAGCCCCGAAATCTAACAATATAACAACATTTTCATAAATTCCCTTTAGGCAAGCCAGTTGTAAAGCGGTCGTTCCATTTTGACTTTGTGCGTCTACGTGAAAACCTTCTTCAATCAACAGTTTTATTGTGTCTCGATTGACTTTCAAGGATTCTGAAGCATAGTGCAATGCGTTCCTGTTGCCGTTGTCCGTAGTATTAATAGTAGCTCCGACTTCTAACAATAATTTTGCATTTTGATAATCACCATTTCGACATGCACGTTGTAAAGGGGTCGTGCCATTTTCATTTTGTGAATTTACGTCGACGCCTTTCTCAATCAGTAATGCTATTATATCTCGATTGTTTTTGCGTGAGTCCAATGCATTATGCAACTCGTTATCTTTCTGATTGTCCATAATGTTAATCCAAGCTCCGGAATCTAGCAACGTTTCTGCATTTTTATAAACACCCTGTTGACATGCAGCATGTAAAGCGGTATTTCCATTTTTACATTGTGCATTTACCTCGATGCCTTTTCTAATCAATAATTCTATTATATCTTGGTTATCTTTATCGAAATATGATGCGTATTTCAAAGCGTTCATGTTCTTCTTGTCCGCAATGATAATCGAAGCGCCGAAATCTAACAACATTTCTACATTTTCATAAACACCCCGTGAACATGCTAATTGTAAAGCGGCCGTTCCGTTTCCATTTTGCGCATTTAAGTCGATGCCTTTTTCAATCAATAATTTTATTACTTCTCGATTAATTCCCAATGTTCTTGATGCATAATGCAACGCGTTGTTTTCTTCCTTGTCCGCAATATTAATCGAAGCACCGGAATTTAACAACATTTTTGCATTTTCATAAACACCTTTTAGACATGCAAGTTGTAAAGCGGTTTTTCCATTTCCATCTTGTACATTTACGCCAGTGCCTTTCTCAATCAATAATTTCATTACATCTCGATTGTCTTTCCATGATTCCGACGCATAATGCAACGCGTTCCTTTCGTCCTTGTTCACAATGTTAATCGAAGCTCCGGAATTTAACAACATTTCTGCATTTTCATAAACACCCCGTAGACATGCTAATTGTAAAGCGGTCGTTCCGTTTCTATTTTGCGCATTTAAGTCGATGCCTTTCTCAATCAATAATTTCATTACATCTCGATTGTCTTTCGATGAGTCCGACGCATAATACAACGCGTTCATTTTGTCCTTGTCCACAATGTTAATCGAAGCACCGGAACTTAACAATCTTTTTGCAATTTCGTAATGACCTTTTTTACACGCCAGTTGTGAAGCGGTTTTTCCATTTCCATCTTGTACATTTACGTCAATCCCTTTCTCAATCAATAATTTTATTACATCTCGATTGTCTTTCCATGATTCCGATGCATAATGCAACGCGTTCCTTTCGTCCTTGTCCACAATGTTAATCGAAGCGCCGAAATGTAACAACATTTCTGTATTTTCATAAACACCGCTTTTACACGCCCGTTGTAAAGCGGTTTTTCCATTTTCATCTTGTACATTTACGTCAATCCCTTTCTCAATCAATAATTTCATTACATCTCGATTGTCTTTCGATGAGTCCGACGCATAATGCAACGCGTTCATTTTGTCCTTGTTCACAATGTTAATCGAAGCTCCGGAATTTAACAACATTTCTGCATTTTCATAAACACCCCGTAAACATGCTAATTGTAAAGCGGTCGTTCCGTTTCTATTTTGCGCATTTAAGTCGATGCCTTTCTCAATCAATAATTTCATTACATCTCGATTGTCTGTCGATGAGTTCGACGCATAATGCAACGCGTTCATTTTGTACTTGTCCGCAATGTTAATTGAAGCGCCGAAATGTAACAACATTTCTGTATTTTCATAAACACTCCGTAAACATGCTAATTGTAAAGCGGTCGTTCCGTTTCTATTTTGCGCATTTAAGTCGATGCCTTTCTCAATCAATAATTTCATTACATCTCGATTGTCTTTCGATGAGTCCGACGCATAATATAACGCGTTCATTTTGTCCTTGTCCACAATGTTAATCGAAGCACCGGAACTTAACAATCTTTTTGCAGTTTCGTAATGACCTTTTTTACACGCCAGTTGTAAAGCGGTTTTTCCATTTCCATCTTGTACATTTACGTCAATCCCTTTCTCAATCAATAATTTTATTACATCTCGATTGTCTTTCCATGATTCCGACGCATAATGCAACGCGTTCCTTTCGTCCTTGTCCACAATGTTAATCGAAGCGCCGAAATGTAACAACATTTCTGTATTTTCATTAACACCGCTTTTACACGCCCGTTGTAAAGCGGTTTTTCCATTTTCATCTTGTACATTTACGTCAATCCCTTTCTCAATCAATAATTTTATTACATCTCGATTGTCTTTCCATGATTCCGACGCATAATGCAACGCGTTCATTTTGTCCTTGTCGACAATGTTAATCGAAGCACCGGAACTTAACAATTTTTTTGCAATTTCGTAATCACCATTTAGACATGCAAGTTGTAAAGCGGTTTTTCCATTTCCATCTTGTACATTTACGTCAATGCCTTTCTCAATCATTAATTTTATTACATCTCGATTGTCTTTCCACGATTGCGATGCATAATTCAACGCGTTCATTTTGTCCTTGTCCACCATGTTAATCGAAGCGCCTGAATTTAACAACACTTCTGCATTTTCATAAACACCGTATCGACATGCAAAAAGTAAAGCGGTTTTTCCATTTCCATTTTGTACATTTACGTCAATGCCTTTCTCAATCAATAATTTTATTACATCTCGATTGTCTTTCGACGATTCCGATGCATAATGCAACGCATTCATTTTGTCCTTGTCCACATTGTTAATCGAAGCACCGGAATTTAACAATTTTTTTGCAATTCCGTAATCACCGTTTTTACACGCCAGTTGTAAAGCGGTTTTTCCATTTCCATCTTGTACATTTACGTCAATGCCTTTCTCAATCATTAATTTTATTACATCTCGATTGTCTTTCCACGATTGCGATGCATAATGCAACGCGTTCATTTTGTCGTTGTCCACAATGTTAAGCGAAGCACCGGAATTCAACAACATTTCTGCAGTTTCATAAACACCGTTTTCACCCGCTAGTAGTAAAGCGGTCTTTCCATTTCCATCTTGTACATTTACGTCAATGCCTTTCTCAATCAATAATTTTACTACATTTGGATTGTGTTTCCGTGATCTCAACGCATAATGCAATGCGTTCATTTTGTCCTTGTCCACCATGTTAATCGAAGCGCCTGAATTTAACAACACTTCTGCATTTTCATAAACACCGTATCGACATGCAAAAAGTAAAGCGGTTTTTCCATTTCCATTTTGTACATTTACGTCAATGCCTTTCTCAATCAATAATTTTATTACATCTCGATTGTCTTTCCACGATTGCGATGCATAATGCAACGCGTTCATTCTGTCCTTGTCCACAATGTTAATCGAAGCACCGGAACTTAACAATTTTTTTGCAATTTCGTAATCACCGTTTTTACACGCCAGTTGTAAAGCGGTTCTTCCATTTCCATCTTGTACATTTAAGTCAATGATTTTCTCAATCAATAATTTTATTATATCTCGATTGTAGTACCATGATTCCAACGCATAATGCAACGCGTTCATTTTGTCCTTGTCCACAATGTTAAGCGAAGCACCGGAACTTAACAACATTTCTGCATTTTCATAAACACCGTTTTTACACGCCAGTTGTAAAGCGGTTTTTCCATTTCCATCTTGTACATTTACGTCAATGCCTTTCTCAATCAATAATTTTATTACATCTCGATTGCCTTTCCATGATTCTGAAGCATAATGCAACGCATTCCTTTTGTCCTCGTCAGCAATGTTAATCGAAGCACCCGAATTTAACAATATCTTTGTAATTGCGCAATCACCTTTTTGAGACGCCAAATGTAACGCTGTCATTTTATCTTTAACTTGTGCATTTATATCAAAACCCTTTTTTAAAAGTAAATAAACTGTTCTTTCGAAGGCGTCTAGGAACTGGAAATTGTTATTGGGTGTGTTAACTTTATCTTTGGGGCCAATAACTGCTGTTGCCAAGAGATTGCCAGATATTTGGTTTTTATTTAGTTTTATTCTGACGAGACTTGGATTTTTTTCAATAACTCCAGAAAGTATGTTAGGGTAACCCATCTGTGCTGCGTAATATGCTAAAGTGTCTTCCTTATAATATTTAAAAACTTCTTCTTGGATGTCGCTAAACATCAACAGTTTTCTTTCTAAAATTAGTTCGATTGGATACAGACACTGTGCTTCAAGGCAGTAATTTAACCAAGTGAAATTGAAAATAACACTGTTGTCGCTAACCTTAATTACGTCGTTCTGTTCTGGTACGAGAATTTTTGCCATATGCACAAACCAATCATATTCTCGACCAAGGTTTACATAGTTGTCGGAAATTAGAATGTGAGAAAGAGGATATTTCATTCCATACGAACATATGAGCTCCCATGGTCTTCGACCGCCTTGATCTGCCCTGTTTATTTCATGTTTGTATTTGTCGAATTGTTCTAAATTTTTATAAACGATAGATAAATGCAAAGGATTGTTTTCTGCCAACATTACGTCAAACATGAGCCGTAAATTTTCGTATCTACGATCAAATATTACGTCTTTCAACAAAGCCGCTTTTTCTTTGTTTTTTTTCAGCCAGGCACACGCAAAGTATTCCGCATAAGTTTGATGCTCAAACACAGCCTCACCACTTTCGTTTATTTTCTTGATGATTCCATTCACGTCAAGCTTCTCCTTAAAACAGCTTATAACATCTTTTAGTTCCTCTAAGTTCACATTTAGTTTCTTAAAGTCTTCAGTCTCTAGACATGTTTTTAAAGCAATAACTTCGTATTGTTGCAACGATGCGTTTATGTTGCCAAACATATGTGTTTTCTCCCTGCCCGCGATTTTTTCATAATTAGACCTTACTTTTCCCTCGAAAAACAACTTATACATTTGTGTTAAAACAAAAATATCTTGATCTTCGATTTTCTTGTAAGCGTCGTCGTTGTTGAGAAACATTTCTGCGATTATGTGTAACTGCAACGGGATTCCTAAAAGACGTTGGCTATTGTTAAGGTCCACGCTAGCAAATACTGCTTTTAAGATTTTTACTACTTTATCTTCTCCGTATTTTTCTTTCAATCTTTTACGCATGTACTCTTCTTGCTGTTCTTTACTTAATTGTTGTATCTCTACTAACACCGTATTTAATGTGTCTGAGACTCTTTGACGTAAATTTTCTCTTGACGAAATCCATACGTTGATACCATTTGATTTTTTAGCAAAATTTAAAACAGAGTCGATGCAACTACTTTCCATTTCGTCTAATCCGTCGAGAAATAAATACAACTTTTTATTTCTAAGCAAAGTATTCTTAATTTGTCCTTCTACAATTTTTTCTTTTCCTTCTGTATTTCTTAAAAAATAATTCCACATTGCTGTTGAATCTGGCTTTTTTTTCAAAAATGAATTACAATTTATCAGATCAACGTAAGTTGCCCAATAATGTGAAGGGCAATTGTTATAAAGAACTTTGATTAATGTCGATTTGCCCATTCCGGGTGGAGCACAAACAGCGTTAAGTGGGTTATTGAGATAACGTAAAACATCCGCTTCTGGTATATTTTTGGACTCGTGTATAATATCAGGCGGTAGTTCGTTTCCTTTTATTAAAAGTAAGGCACAAGATTCTTTATCAAATACTTGGAATAGATATGCGTTTGATTTTTTGGATTTTTCACAAACCTGAAGAAATTCAGCATGTGTTAATTTGCTTTCTGTGGAAAGTATAATTACGTTGTCTTTGACAACATATTCTGGGCTAAAGTAAACAGAACTTTCAACAAAATTATGTTTTTTATGTGTTAATGTTAGATCTTTAAATGTTGAGTCGCAATTAATTATTACCACTGCTTGATTTTTCTGTGATTCATAAATGGTAAAAATTTTCTCTGTCTTTACGAAAGTGGTAGATACATATCTTGGTATGTGTAATTCGGGTAACTCTTCTCTTTCATTTCCTATTATGTAGTGTGCTTGAGACATCTTCAATAGTTCACCAACCCCAATATGCTTAGCAATTTCCCTGTCAATGTTAATAAATTTTTCCAAACAAACTGGTTCTCTTCCTTGTAAAGAAATTTGGAAATTCCGCAAAATGTCGCAATAATATGCTTCGTTGCCGGCCTTGTTCCCCAGGTCAGATAAATCTTCGAAAACTTCCATCTCATCGAACTCACCTTTCATAACGTTTCCCACCAAGATAATTTGTTTCTTTTCAACACTTTTATTCATTATTTTCATTACACATTCGACTGTTGTTTTATTCGAATCGTCTACTTTTACAATCAAAGGAACTTTATCTAAAAACCATGCAATCTTATCTTGTTCCCTTATCTTTATTCCAAATTTTTCTTTGGTTTTCATAAATTCTTCCTCTGGCATGTTTGGATCCGGCCATATATTTTCGATAACACTTTCTTCACTACTTTCCACAATCGTCAATGAGTAATTCATTATTGCTTTCCTCAGGTTTTCTGTTTTTGTATTTTGTTTGCCGTTACTTAAATTTTTCATGTAAGGTGAGACAGTTAATTCAGTTAATTTCGCAATGACGTCATCTTTACTCAAAACAAAGCTCTTCGACCACCATTCGCTCATAAAATGCATAAAAGAATCGTAAATGTTACATTGTAACATCTCGTGCAACATTTTTTCTACTACCATCTTAGTATTATTTATGTTATTTTGTTCTGTAAAAAAATAAAACATCTGAGTTTTATCTTCTAGCCTTTGTAGAATTTGAAAAATACTTAACGAATTTCTTTGTTCAACGTTAAGGAGCAAATCTTCATACTCAATATTATTGCATACTTCTAGCTTAATATTTGGCGCTATTTCGGTACTTTCCTTAATATATGTAGAAGAATTTGTGTAGACGATGCAAACAACATCGTCCATGATATTAAGAGATGATAGAGAATTAAAATATTTTTGAACGCCGAAGTCATGTTTTGGATTAAGTAGATTGTTCGTTGTGATGGACTTTCCTCCTTCTTTGTGTTTGAGTTGAATGAGATAAGTGCGTTTTTTCGTGTTCTTGAATGTAACTGTCAGTCCGATGTCGTCAAAAACTCCATGTTCTTTGTTGTTCGTAGTCATTTCAAAATCTTCCACATCATCTCGCACAATTAATTTTAAAGCATAGAATGCACACATCATTTGTTCATATTCTTTGCCATGATCTACTGTTCCTGGTAGTTTTTTGTATGTGCGAAATCGGTCCTTTTGGCACTGAAAAATATTAAAATAGTTGACTTTCTCTAAAAACATGTTGCAGTTCAACGCGGTGCTAATTTATATTAGATTCCTTTTACCGGACCTGATTTCAATTACAAAATTAGTTTTTTTGAAATTAAATATTTAATACTTCTAAATATCTTTCAACATGTTAATAATATTTTACACAAAAAACTTATAGACAGTTTGTTCTAAAACGTAGTCAATATATCAACTAAAAACAATGACGTTTACAGAATTTCGATATTTCTATGCGTTCTCAAAATATTAAGCCGCGGAATTTTATCTGGGACACCTTTCTGATTTAATGTTATAAGGGGTGATCACTAATAATTGTAATCGAGTAGCACTTAATTGAATTTTAATCCGCGTATCTTTGATAGATTGGTAGATTGATATATCAAATGTAATGACCAATGCAAAGACAATTATCCATAGCGTTTAAGGTAAGGACATACGTTTACACATCCAAAGCTGACCTGTTTACAATCAGTATTGATCACACGATATCTACATTACTACCATTTTTTCAAAAAATGGCTAGTGCAGAAAAACAAAGTTTATTTTTTCATTTATTAATTATTCCTATAATTAACTCCAAAACTTTAGATTTATCACACAAAGTATAGAATAACTGGATTTACCTTTTCTGAAGAGGAACAGATTGTTCTAGGTTGCTGAGTGATCGAGGTTTTTGCGCCTTGTTTTTTTGAAGAGTTTCTTTTGGTTTTCTTTTCTTTTATTCGTCTGATCTCTTCTTCTAGTTGTTTTAGTCTCTCGTCTTCTCCCTGACTATCATACTCTGACCCTGAGTTCATGGTGAGAGAAAGAGAGAGAGAGCTAGAAAGAGAAAGTGCTAAAAATGACTTGAGATATTACAAAAGTAAATGTAATTCTTTAAAATATGATGTGAAAATATCCAGTATTCCCTGGAGAAACTGAATGTTTCTAATGTTATTTAGACAAAACTAAAGTCTCTAAGAAACTGATCCATGCCAAAGCATATTTTTGAATAGTGATTTATTTAGTAATCTTTGTATGGACACACGTTAATTTTTAAAAATATAATATAACCCTACAGTTCGTTTTTTAGAGGAGCGGAAAAAATTAAGCAACTTAACATACACAAACTAAAGATAACTTTGATAGTATTTATTTAAAAAAACAAAATGTGTAATCGTAAATTACATATTAAAACAAGTAATGATGAAAAATTTTAGGTTATAAAATAATGTGCCAGACTATTAAGTGTTAAGATTGACTGCATAATGCTCGTGCTCGTCAAAATTTAACAAGACACTTTGATGTAGGTAAAGTTTAAAGAAAAAAATGTAAAATAGGCGCATCAACTATGGAATGTGTTTTTTGGGTTGCATTATTTTTTCCGCTCTTAAAAAATAAACTATAACACTTTTTCTCTATCCTAAAAATTTCGAATAAATTGAATAGAGTGTGTTTGAAGTGATAGAAAAGAATGGTTGAAGGTAATTTCGTCAGAACTTTCCTCGCTCCTGAAGTAAGTATGCTACATACAATAATAAATCCCGCTTCTTTGAAAAATAATAAAATTTGATTTTGCCGAAAATGTTATTTGTGATAATTTCTATACATTGAAAAAAATATAGGTAATAGCAGTAACTGTACATGACCAGCCGGTTATGTTGACATAAACTGTGGTATTAAAATTTCTATTTTTTTCCAAAAATTTGGATTCTTAGGGTAAAAAATAAAGACGGATGCAAAAACCACAAGTACAAGACTATGTTATTGTATAACCTTTAAATCCCACTCTGAATAAAAAAAAATGCGTTACGGCATTTAATTGTCGGTAGGGAAGATTAGACAAATTTTGGTTAGCATGTTAGCGTCTACACGATATGCAGAATACACATACAAAATTTGACAGCAATCGGTCCGGTAGTTTGTTTCGGAGATCACGTATTTAATAAAAATCGACACAGATAGTCGACGGACGACAAACAAACGGAAACGCGAGACTTATTTTTTAGAGTTTGATATGTATAGGAAAGATACCAATACATTTCGCTACATCACTGCTGACTCCCATTACTGCCCTCAACAGACGAAGGCAAGTCTCAATTGTTTGATCAACTAACTCCTTAGGTACCTTACCTTTCGTTTGAATAAGGAAAGGTTCAACAAAGAGTTCAAAATCATTAAAAATGTAGTCAGATGTAGGTAGCAGTTTTGGAATGGGGCTAGTTGATAAATTATTTAATAAGTTTAAATTAAGAAATCGGTTGTTCAATCAACTAGTTTTCAAAGAGAAAACCCAGATAAGACGTTTTTTGGCACAACCATTTTTGCTCCTTCAGTAACAAAAGGACTAGAAAAGATTTACAGAGGACTCGGTGTTAAGCTTGTTCGTATATCCGGACAAAATCTGCAAAGTCTTCTCAGAAATCCGAAACATAAAGTAAAGTAAAATGAAAAGTCGAGGATATACAGCATATTATGGAAACGTGCGTACAAAAAAATTGACAGTTCTTTGCGAGTCTACAAAGTCTGAAAAACCTATTTTGTATTATCAGAATTACAAGGGAAAAATTAACCTTTAATCAAAGTTATAAGTTGCAAAGATTATAAACAATAATATGTACACTGAGCATACAAATAGCTCAATCATCACGCGATTCAAAGAGGACCAAAATGTGTTTCTGCCTTATAATAACTAAAATATATTTTTAAATAACCAATACTTACATTATGACAGAATTGAATGTCTACGAGGTGATGATCACAACAATCTTTGATCTATTCTTTCTACACAAACAACAGACAAATATAAAAAGCTATAAATTTTGAGGTATTTATTGACGAAATATTTATCTAATCCGACTCCATCTGCAAAGATAAGTAAGTTATAAATTCGTGGAAGGAGGTTGTATATCTACTTAAGGTATTTACAATTGGTGTCGCAGCGATTCGATATAGGACAGAACCTACAGAGGTTCTAATAACTTTAGAGATCAAAGAATAAATCGTACTTCTCGAGCATAAACAAAGGAAAAATTATATTATGGGTTCACTCTGGCGAATTATCAATTTCATGTTTGTCCAACATTTCAAAATTTGTGGAATAGGAACCTCTCAGTCTCCTGTTTTCGTCACTATATGGTCTGTCAGCGATTTTATTTGACAGATAAACTCTGAACTCCTGATCCATAGACGTACCGACGTACAAGATCGCAATCAAGACCAAACATTTACATGAATAATCGCGTTCGAGTTTTTCTTCTAAGAAACGATTTCTGTTAAGTGTGAAAAATTCTTTAAATGTGTCGAAGTTCGTTATCGGGGCGGAATTAAAATTTAGCTGCAAGGTACCACTTTTAGCACTGATACCGGACTCCATTGCTTTACAAAATTCACATAAAACGTTTACGTCAAAATTTCTGTTGAATCTATCTGTGTTAAACAATTATTTTTGCAAAGGTTTGCATCAGGGTTTCTGTTAAATACAGAGTCTACCTTTGTTGCTAAACAATAATTTTTATTTTTGCTAAAGCTTCGTCCAACTTAAGAGTTTCACTTTCGAATTAAATAATCATTTTTGATAAATGTTTAAAATTTTCATGAATAAAATTCAAATCGTTTTGTATGTTAGATTTCGCTAGTTATTTATGTATGGGGAGTAAAAGCGATATCACGATATTTACATTTTTGTGATCATCCCTACTAACACTGGTGTGATGTCACTTTAAAAGTTTGCTTAGTAAATTCTCTTTTCATAAAATAATCGTTTTCTGTACTTGTTGTTTATGAATACACTTTGATTTTGTTTGTTATTATTATTTTTAGTGCTTAAAAATTGTCGTTCTATATTCACTTAACACGTACAAAGGTGTTTCTAACTTTTTTTTTACAGAGTGTGTTGAACCTTGATTCAGTCTCGTAACATCTCCGTTTATCACTGTTAAATTCTTAATAACACATATGGTGTCCCGGCAATATTTTCCACAGCGTACGCGATATAAGGATTTTTTTGGTATTTTTTTCACACGTTGGCTTACATTATCGAAATTTTTATACGGATTTCTAACGTTTTTGAAAACATTCTATCGCCTATGTTCATCCGAGATAATGTAGGATTCTAATCGTAAAAGAATTTTTCAAATCGGTCCAGTAGTTTCGGAGCCTGTTCAATGCAAACAAACAATCAAATTATTCCTCTTTATAACATTGGTATAGATAATGTGTACATTAACTTAAGAATTGAAAACATTCCATGAGAACGAAAAATAGTGCAGTTTTGGGGGGGCGGCAAATGTACATATTGAGTTAAGATAAAAGATAAGAAAGAAAAGCTTTTTGGAAAAACCAGACTTCCCTACGAGATTCGCGCAATAGATTATTAACGTAACTTGACTTATTTGATAACAGTTCTAAACCCACGTTAAGAAAACAAATAACGATTTACAGTATATTTCGTAATAAGTGTCGAAAGTAACAAACATCCAGCGAGTGTTTATAATAGATATACGAGTGCGGAGCACGATTAGATCTATTAAACACGAGCGCAAAAGGTCTTTACCGGAAACTTATTTGTTCGTACTCTAGGAATCATGAAGGGCCGAGAAAATGTAAAAATAGAGAATCGGCCGACGGACTCGATTACAATACTTCCTTCGCTTACGCTCGGGAAGAAGAAAATACACTGACCGGCAAAAAACCAACCACCATTCACTGTTAACACATGATGTACAAATTAACAAAAAAAAGAGGACAATTAATAGCAGAATTATTGATTATAATGGCAATTAATAAACGTTTTCATGCGAAAATAATTCCGTTAACTCTTACAGACGTCTCTCAAAATGTCGCTCTGTTTCTGTTATTTTGTTAAATTTAAATTTAATTCTGCGTTTAATTGGCTTCTTTTTTTTGATAATTTATACCTCATGTGTTGGTTTTGCGAAATTTTTTCAGGGTGGCCGGTTTTTTTTGCCGGTCAGTGTATATAGAAAACATTTTAGACTGACTGAAACGAAACGATATACAAAATAAATATGGCCAAACGTACATTTAATTAATGATGAAGAGTTAACTCGCTACTAGTTTGTGTGTCAAGATTCACACTGATTTTGATTAACCTATAACTATTTAACTATACCTCATATGTACTGAATATAGTGGTTTGAATGTTAACATAATAATAATATAATCTTAATGATGTCATAAAATTTTATTAGTATGCATTGAAAGTGATCTCATAATACCTATTTCATTTCGTCCTAACGGCAAAATCACTTTGAAGGACCTATAGCTGCTTAAATGTGGAACAAATAAGATTGGCGTTACTATGGCTCCGGGTTCTATCCCCGACATCTTGAATTATTTTTCTTACATTGCGACTCGTTTACTTGCACTTTACTGCGTTTTGCAATATTAGCTGCTTCTGGAACAGGAGCAATTTTAACTGTCGCTAAATTATAAAAAGTCACCGATTTCAAAATGCGTAATATGGAAAAGTTCTTAAACAAAAGATCATTTGATTATTCGTTCATAGTAAGTGTACAACTTCAAAGCTATACTTACAACGGTTCGCCAGTTATGAGAGGGGATCTGAGCTCTCTAACCAATATTCTTGAAACTTTGGTGAATCCACATGTATTGACTTAATGATTGCAAAAAATTTACCAAGGTTTATTTACCATTCTCTCCATCTTAACCTTACCTCAAACAAAATTAAATCAATATTTATTTTCTATTTCCCCTTATTTACTCTAGGTAAAATAAACTGTTTCATAACATTGATGCTTAGTGAAAATACTCCAAATCCAGAAATGATCGTGCTTCAAAAGTGATGAAAAATTTTTCAAAGTGACATTTAATTTTTTTGCAATAAACTAACAGTTTTTACTCCTACAGAAAAAGAGGGGTGCTATCAGTTTGACCCCTTCATATCTACGTGGCACCGTAGCTCCTAAACTGATGAACCGATTTCAATGCAGCTTCCTTTGTTTAAAAACCGGTTTAATCGGGAAAGGCATAATAATATTATGCGTATGTTTACGAGACACTTTCAACACTACAATTTATGTATGAAAGTTCCAAATATCATATTTGTTATCCAACACCTCTTGATTATAAGGTCATAAAATTGCCGATTTTGGACACATTAGAAGGCTCATAAGTCACTAGTGGAATTATGAACTTATAATTAAACTGATTTTCATAATTAAACAGTTTAGAGAAAATTACACAATTTATTGAACAGAAAGAAGTTTAATAATTTTATTCATACATTACATCCTAAAAATAACATTCAGAACAAGATTGTTCGCTGTGAACCAATCAAAGGCTTCCGATTGCGCTTCAGCACTGACCATGTCTGGTGATACGTCCGATATTAATTTGTTTAGCAATGTGGTATCGTCTGCGTATAATACTGAATCAAAGTTTAAGTTAGTTGGTAGATCGTTCCCAAAAATTAAAAATAGGAGAGGTCCTAAAATGGAACCTTGGGGTACTATTTGATTAATCGGAAGATGGTCCGAAAATGTTTTGTTAAATTTAACTAATTGTTGACGATTCTCTAGACATGATTTTAGTAATTTGCATCTTTCTTCATCAATATTACACGCAGATAATTTTTTCAGAAGGATGTTATGTGACACGCAACCGAAAGCCTTCGACAGATCAAGAAATGGCACGATTGCTGTTTCTTCTGTTTCGAAGCAGGATGTTACATAATTTTGTAACTTGAGAACAGCGTCTACCGTGGGCAAGCTTTTTCGATATCCGAATTTATTTCCCGTGAATAGTTTTTTAAAGTTTGTCCAGAATTATAAGAATTTTATGGACTCCCAACGTTAATTCTTTTTACAGCCCTGTCGTCAATTCTATTGTACAAGTAAAGAGCCTGTCAGGAGAAAGCCGATGTTTACTGTACCTGAGTTCGCCCCGCTCTTCAGCTGTACAATAAAATTGACAACAGGGCCGTAAAACGAATTAACTTTGGCAGTCCATAAAATTCTTATAATTCTAGAAACTTTACTTTCGAAATAGCGGCTCAATTGAAGAAATAATACCTTTTCTATATTACCTTCGAAAAAATTGGCAGTAGTGCAGTTGGGCGGAAATTACTTGGGTTATTCAAGTCACCTTTTTTATATATCGGAACTACAACCGCCATTTTTAAACAATCAGGAAAAATAGATTCCCTAATGCAGATATTTATTAACTTTGTTAGAGGGGAAATTAGTATGTTTTTAACTGTGCTCAACAGGTTAGTATTGAGGTTATAGACATCATTCAAATTGTTTTTTTTTTTAACTATTTATGGCATCTCTGATTGTTAGGTACACAGGTACACAGACAAAATGCATTGCTCCGATAAGGGTAAAACGCAGTAAATATTGAATTGTGGTATATATATACTTATCTCCTCTAAAAACTTGATGGCATCAGCTGAAAATTTTGCCGAATAAATCCTCTCTAAAGTGTACAAAATATGATGAGTAAAAATTCTCTCATTTTTTCAAACATTTTCACGTGTATAGCTTTAATTTTTTTTTGGCAGAAGCCCAAACACCACAGGGAAATATGCATCTTCTATTTCGCCATTGATTGTATATAACTGATAGAAGAGACAAGGAACAGTTTGAAAAGTACCATCCATCAACCATGTAGGGCAGCAACGAAGGAATTCTAAATTTTTAGTGTAACCATGTTCCCTCTTTAAGGTGAAAAATTCCTAGATTGTTGATGGTGGCACGTGCCTTACATTTTTTGACCCATTGATCGCATTTCCAGTATACGGCGTTCTCTGTTGATTTTT